AGTTTGACGACAAGAGCAGGTTCTGCTTCTGACCGAGATTTTCGGAAAGACCTTCGACGTGACGTTCAATGCAGGCGAAACTGGCCCGAAAAGAGTAGAAATTGATATTGTTGATGACTCTCTCGTAGAGTCAACGGAATCCTTTAACGTATCGATAGTTTCATCATCTTCACCTGCAGTAAGACCTGGATCTTCTTCCAAAGTTAATATTCTCGATAATGACGGTTAGTGACAATCTATTTGGATGCTGACAAAAAAATGCAGACTTATGGATTGTGTGCTTTAGGGAATTTTGATGAAATGCAGGGAACTATAAATTTTAACAATCACAACTAAATGTTCTCGAAAATAACTAAACGTTTATAACATTAACTGATTAGTGTCTAAATATTAGCCATGTTAATGACAATTACTCATTCTAATGATCGTGACTAAATGTTTATGATAATTACTAAACGTTAGTGATAATTTCTTTGTCTTAATTGAAATGTTGAAATTCGTCACATTGCATCGGAAAAATGTATTACAAAATGCAGCATTGAACTTCGGTCATCTTCTAGCAGCAGTACAGCGGCAATTTTTATTCGTTGCAATATGTATTATAGAAATAAGATAGTCAATATAGCTACTGTGATGTCAACATTTATGGAAAAATATTTTTTGTAGAAGCTCGGATTGGTTTTACTAAGGAATTATTTGAAGTAAATGAAAAGTCAGGAGTTGCAAATATTGGACTCATCTTTCAATCTGGTGAAGTAAATGTTCCAGTTACTGTGAGGTTAGATAGACTTTTGTGATATTTCCAAAGTAACAATTTTTCTACCAGCAACGGAGTTATTTAATTCGTTGTAGTCGTAAATTCATTACATAAGTTCATTATAAAATTGATTATGCAAAACGTTCTTGCTGTATCATGTGGAATTTAGATCGTGGAACTACCTTTATAAAAGGTTGTCGTTTGAAGTGGAATTTTATCGTTGCTTCTTGTTTTCTTACCGTATAAGCTCTGTAAACTGTTAAGATGAAAAATTTTCGAAAATGCCTTAAAAATTACATTATCACGTTATACCTTAAGGCTGATTGCAAAGTTTGACATTAAATGACAAAACATCATTTGATGCTGTTGAAACACACATTTCAACACATGCATTTTAGATATTACATGCAAATGATTGAAACAGTTTACTCAAAATGCCAATCGCAGTTCTTCAAAATCATAATATTGAGATTATCCAGTCGTAGTTCTCAAAGACCATACTATTTGAACTATGGGTTTTTTCTTTAAATTTTCACATTTATTTGTGGGAACTTGAATCTTCATTTACAATAACTTTTCGAATATCTCTTGATTTCTTACTGTCCTTCTGTCCATAACTTTCGTAAAGTTACAATTGTGAAATTACAAAGATTTTTTGTGCATGTCTTTCACTTAAGGTTTGTAACCAAGACTGGTACTGCTGGAAGCTCAGACTTTGTCTCTAAAGCCGTCGACGTATTGTTTGAACCAGGCGTGAAACAAAAGACGGTGAAGGTGGATCTTATCAACGATAAACTTTTGGAACCCAGTGAAATCTTTGAAGTGTCACTTGAATCATCATCTGTTGATGCTGTAAAGCTTGGAAAGCCATCTTCTGTTAGAATCATTGACGATGATGGTAAGTACGTGGTTATACCCTTTACTACAGTTAAAAAGTGTATATAAAAATTTGAACAATTTGTGAAACGTCGCTTAAGTCATCAGCGAACAAGATTTGCAAATACCTTCAGTAGAATAGTTAGTTTGACTTCCATTGGGTCATCTGACAGTAAAATCTTTGCAAATAGTAAACATTTTATTGTGAAAATTGTGTTATTGAGAAGCACTTTTGAAATTGCTTGCGCCCAAAAATTACGCAGCTAAAATTCAATTGAAACACATAGGATTAAAATATGACACATGTTGCGCACACTGACAAAGTTTTAGGAAATTTTGCTGATGCGTATGCGAACGCTTAGCTTTCAAATTTCGGATTATTTTGAATTTTTCCTTTTTAAATGCCATTTTGTTATAAATCTCTTTAATTGTGCGTAAATTTGAGTTTAAATTATCCAAATATGACAAATTGATGAAAGATTTAAGAAAATAATAATTAAAAGTGAAACGCAAAATAATCAGCATTTTAGATGTCCATGGCGTTCGTGTACGGTTTTGCCATATTTCCTGAAAGTTTTTAATCCTATGTGTTCCAATTGTTTTTTAGCTTTGCATTTTCTTGTGCAAGCGATATTAAAACTGTTTCTCAGAAACACAATTCCCACTCTGAAAATGAGTGTTTTATATTTGCGAAGATTTTACTGTTAGATGAACCATTCGAAGTCCAACTACATGTTCTATCAAACGTTTTTGCAGATCAGGCCCACTGTCTTAGTAGAGACATTTTCCTATCTCTTCAGTTTTTTTTCGTACACCTTGTATTTTGAACGCGTTCTTACTTCTATTAATCTTAATATATTCTTCTTTTACAACAGTTGCTTCTATTGGCTTTACCAGCAAATCTTACGATGTTCCGGAGGATAGAAAAGCTATTTTGGAACTTGATTTTCTTGCAGGAGAAGCGACGGAGCCTGTAACTGTCAGGTTACTAAATGATATACTTTTTTATATTTATATTTAAGAGTGTCAATTTTTGCTGTTATAGCTACATATTACACTGTACAAACCTAAGTATATAAATATTCGAGTTTAAAGCAAGGAAAAACCAAAGATAATTCTCCAAATGCATCACCCTCTCCGCTTATTTCATATAACCACACGGCTTTAACTTGTTCTGCAGTATTTTCTTTATGCTTTAGGAATGTATATTTTTCTCCAGCGTTTTTACAAAGCCTACTTTCTTTAACAAAAAAGCATTGCGTAACCTTTTATCCAGTATATTCTGTGAAGGTGTGTAATATCATGAGAAAAACAATTTGTATTTGTCAATATGCTTCTTTAGACTTGCTGCCCTGTCTGGAACGGCGGGAAAGAATGATTTTATTAGCAAAGAGATCGACGTAACATTTGAACCTGGACAACAAGGACCCAAAATCATTGAATTTGACTTGATTGATGACAAAATCGTCGAGAGCACGGAATCCTTTCAAGTAGCACTTCTGTCTTCATCAAATAAGAATATCACGCTTCAAGATCCCGCTGTTGTAAACATTTTGGATAACGATGGTACGTTGAGCTTTTAATTAATAATTATGTCAAAGGTCGAATGATGACTTTGAAATAAAGTCCAAAATTTGCAGTTTCAACACGCATCTTATTTAAACATAAATTTTCGATTGGATATTTTCACGTCCTGAACTTGCTTTTGATACATTTCATTCAAATATCCGCTGGCCCATACTTGTATTTTTTAAATACTGCAATTTCGCTGCAGTCTTTAAAAACTTCCTCGTGCATGTTTACCCGTGTTTGTTCCCTTAACTATACTATTTTACCGGTACAAAAGCTACCAACACCTTTTTATTCCTTCTATAGAGGCTTCAGTCAGGTTTGAAAGTGATACTTATGACGTAAGGAAAATGAAACAGCTTTTGTTGATCTTAAACTTGATGGAGAAATAGCCTATCAATCACAGTTCAGTACGTAGATTTTCTATCATATTATTTGACTTTATCGGATACTGATTGGAGGTCTCTTTTGTATAGCCTAAGTCAGAGTTTTACAATTTTAGCTTTACGCTGATGATGTGTGCTTCAATGATGAAGTGTTTTTGCTAGTTAAAATAGTTTGGTAGTTATGATTAACGCTAAAATGCGATAACAAAAGCTATGATTTTTATGATTGTTTACAGGGTAACTTTACTGCACCGGAAGACGTTCAACTTGATGTCACGGGAAAATACTGACGCTTTGGTTGAACGGTAAGTGTGAAAAAATAAGTATGCCAATCGTACATGTTGCAAATGCAAACATTACGTTCAAAGTAAAATATACCTCAAAACGTAATGTTTATGAGTGGCAATAGATAGCCAGATTAAATCAAAGCAATGGTTGTTATGAAACTTTTACATTTATCAGTACTATGTTGCAATTGTTTTCAGTCACGTGGTATTCACTTAAATGATGGATGCCGCAGGATTTCAGTATGTGTGATTTTTTTTAATACGAACACATATCGCTTTGTGATCACTGAGCAGGTTTTATAAACTCCACTATCAATGTGATCAGCAATAAAATTTCTCATTAGTTTTTGGTGGCTATTTTTCCTAAAGGTTATGTTCTGTATGCGAATTGTCGTCAGCAAGACCAATGTTTTATTTTCAAAGACAAAAAGAAATTGATAAATAGTAAAGCATGTGTGGCAAAGTTACTTATTTATATTAATTTACCGTAATCACAACTTTTTTAGAAGAAATTGACAATATATATCGACATATAGCTATATCGATGAAGATTGATACCCCCAATTTTTTAGTTGACTATGGCATTACATGATGCTGGACGAAGTAGGCTAAGTAATGCAACGAAAACTATAAGCACTTTCATGATAGAAAATTAAATATTCTTTACAGGGCTTTCCACCTGAAGGCGTTCCACCAGAAGGCGTTCATCGTCAAGGAAGGGTATGTCAACAATTTTTTTTTCAAATATCTTCATGAAAATTGTGTACTTCTTTATGCACTTTCCTACAAGTTCCTTTCAAACAAGTTCACTGGTGGAGAATCTAAGGAAATTTACATATTTTTATCAATCAAGCTGAAAGTAAAAATAGAAAAGCACAAATCTTTTATTTTCGAATCTTTGGGTTGACACTATAAAGAAATTTTATTGGCTGTATCACTATATGAAACTTTATCAGTTATATTGCATTTTTTAATTGAATTTTTTTGAAAACTACTGTGTTTATAAATGCACTGGGAAGAGCTAAAAACACTTTCATGAATTTAAGCAGGAAATGAACTATTCTTTACAGGGCTTTCCACCAGAAGGCGTTCATCGTCAAGGAAGGGTATGCAACTTTTTTTCAACTGATAACTCCATAAAAATGTCTAACTCCTTATGCTCCTTTTTATCACAGCCATTGAGCATACAAGTTCCATTTCATACAAGTTCACTGGTGGAGAATGTAAGGAAATTTACATATTTTTATCAATCAAGCTGAAAGTAAAAATAGAAACGCAGAAATCTTTTATTTTCGAATTTTTGGATTGACGCTTTAAAGAAATTTTATTGGCTATATCATTAGAGGAAACTTTATCAGTTATTTTGCAGTTTTTATTTGAATTATTTTAAAAACTACTGTTTTATAAATGCACCGAGAAGAGCTAAGAACACTTTCATGAATTTAAGCAGGAAATGAACTATTCCTTACAGGGCTTTCCACCAGAAGGCGTCCATCGTCAAGGAAGGGTATGCAACATTTTTTCAACTGATAACTCCACAATAAATGTCCAACTCCTTATGCTTTATTTTTATCACAGCCATTGAGCATACAAGTTCCAGTTCAAACAAGTTTACTGATGGAGAATGTAAGAAAATTTATTTATCAATCAAGCAGAGAGAATAAATAGAACCTATCAAAACCATCAAAACTCTTATTTTTTTGAACTTTGAGTTAGCGCTATTAAGAAATTGTATTGTCTCTATGAAATTTTATCAATTTTGATGCATAAGGACATTTTTGGAAAATTCACACATTAAAGGGAAACAATGGTTATTATTTTTGTGTTAACACTAACAATAACATTGGGTTTTAAATTATATGCAAGAGAAGCAATTATTTGTACTTCATGGAATAATTAAAGTACAAATTATAAAAATTCTCCTTAGGCTGTTTTAAGTGACGATAATACTAAACTTCGAGAAAAGTTGCGTCAAATGCAGAACGCTCTAACAAATTCAAAACTCGATACGGCTGAGATGTACTCAAAATTTGGAGAATACGCAAACGATTGGAGCAATGTGGTAAAGCATTTGAAAAAATGCTGCTGCAACAGAAGAACAATTACGAAGCAAGAATCAAAAGTTTGGAAGAAAAGAATGAGCAACTGATGAAGGAAAACGAAGAAATGAAAAAAGTAATAAGATTTCGAAAAGTGAAACTGGCATTTGAAAAACAAAAAAGACAATTGAAAATTGGTCAAGTTGCGTATAAGTTGGAAAGTCTTGTATCGGAATATGTATTTCCTGGTCAGGATAAAGCAAGTAAAAGAGCAAGATATGGAACAAATTTGAAGTCTTTAGAAAAAAAGATTGACAGCCTTAATGACCAAAATGTTCAAGATCACGCCAAATCACGTTTTCCCGAGCTCGACAAAGCACTTTTTGAAGATTGGTTTATTGGTGTTGTCAAAAAAATGAAATGTTCACGCCTGGACACAGCTCACCCAAATATCGGGACGTATGAAGAAATGAAGGCTGTGATAACTGAGGAATTTAGTGATCCAGATGAGCGTGATGATATGTTGACAGCATTGGATCAACTTCGTAAAATGTATCTGAAGATGGAACGACCATTTGGAGAATAAACACTGACATTTCATATCATCCTCACAAGCATTAAATAAAAATATTCCTGTCAGTGGTTTAGGATATTTTAGTCATTTCTCTATAACTTGTAGAAAAAGTTATAAGAATTTATAATTACAACTGCACAAAGACAATTAAATATCTGTAATGAAACTTTCAACAGTTGACTGTTCAATATATTAAATAATAATATCAATGAAAAACTCGTGAAAAACAATAAAATACATGTGCACAAGTTATTTTGAATAACATGTTTGTTTTATATAAACGAAGCAGACCAAAGTTATATTTTATGCCCGTAATACGGACATCACTCCAGTATACTTGAGATCACCATAAGAAAGGGATACCATTTTCACCTTACGTAATTTAATTTGTCCCTGAATATCCCATCATCACATCTTTGACAAATTTATTTAAGTCGAGTCGTTAAAGGAGCATCATATGACCATTGACCATCAACGTTATGGAAATTCTACAAATAGAAAAAATCAAACCGATTAATATAAAGTAACAAGATTTTCAAAAACAAATACTTTTTTGAACATTTTATTTTCTATGAATGGTCATTCTATTTTACAGTTGAGATAAAAAGGACAATCACGTTAATTAAGTATAAACAGGATAATTCAAAATTGTACATTATACAATTCAAATTGTACTAAACAGCAATTTAATTAAGTAGTTTTTCCAGTAGTAAAATAGATGCAATACTTTACCTTGGTTTGCCACGTTATGTGTTTTTCTTTTCTTTCGCGACCTTCATAACGTTGTCTTTCCTCCAACTAAAATGTCACAAGAATCATCGCTATTCAATGGAAGATTCCGACAACAGGAATAAATTATGCAATCACAAACGTATTAGCACATTTAACTCTGTCCAAATTAGATTTCGTCAATAAAAAACGATAAAATTGTACTAATGAATTATGGTTACATAGCTAGCTTAGTATTAACCATGTTGTCTTAATTTCAATGATATAGATATTGCAGACTATAATAAAACAAATCTTTTCCTAAAATACCTTA